AACTGATTGATAAGATAAACAACAGTGAGAAACATATCAACCTAAAGAGATAATGATGAATTAGCATGAAAGAGCATGGTTAATCCAGTTTCTACAATATGCAGGTTTTTTTTTTTTTACTACTCCATTTTGCTCCAGAGTTCCAAGACATAACACATGCAACTGAATCCCACTTTCTTTAATATGCTCTAGGAAGGAATTTGAGTTGAACTCGCCACCACCATCACATTGGAAAATTTTAATGTGCCTTTCAAATTGATTTTCCACCAATTTTTGGAATTTTAGGAAACAATCAAAGAATTCGGATTTCTTTCTTAAAGGATAAAGCCACGTAAATCTTGAGTAATTATTCACAAAAATTGCATAAAAATAAAATATCTTATTATAGGCAATAGGGGCTGGTCCCCAAAGATCGCAATATATCTTTTCAAAAGGAAAGTTTGAAATTTTATTTGTGGAATTAAAAGGTAGCTTACGAATTTTTCCTATTTGACAACTAATACATATAGAGGGTTTAGTTATCCAATGGGTGACATCAATAGCCTTCTTTTCCTTCAACAAAGATAGCAACTTTAAATTAGGATGTCCCAATAGTTGATGCCAAATATGAGAAGAAGCACCACATTTCCTTATTGCATTTAGAGCCTCTTGAAAACTTCCATCCAAAGCATATAGTTGTCCTTTTTTATGCACCCTCGCTATCACCCTTTGATTTGGATCCTTAACAACAAAATCAGATTCGGTGAATTCAAAAGTACATGAATTGTCTAAAGTAAACTTTCCAACAGATATTAATTCTTTTTCAAATTAGGGACCACAAGAATATATTTTAATTTTAAATTTCCTTCCTTTGTAGTAACACATGCATTCCTAGTATGAGATATAGACAAGCCATTTCCATTTCCCACATAAATCACATCACCCATTTTATAGGGCTTTATATGGGATAATTTACATGCATCATTGGTCATATGCGAGGTGGCTCCAAAATCAACATAGAAAGATTGATCATTGTCATTAATGGAGAGGGCGGCAAAGGCTTGCGAAATATCCTCTGATTGATATAAATAGTCAAACCTGTACCAACAATCTATAGCAAGGTGATTAGCTCGACCACAAATTTGGCAAGTGACATTACTATGATTGTCGACCTTATTATTTGATCGTTGTTTCTGTTAATTGGCTGAGTTTCCATCTTTGCTTTGCTCGTCATTATTGCTTGATTCCCCTTTAGATTGATTGCCTTTAAATTGCGGGTTTTGGTTTCCATTGTAACGTCCTAATGGTTTGAAACCTCTATATCTCGAGTTAAATTAGCCTCTACCCCTCGGTTGTTTCGACCTCAACCCCGCTGTCCAAAGAATGATTGTGCATGCTCTATGTATGCCTTCTCTTCTTCCTTTTGTGCCACCAATGATTATTCAAGTCCCTGGAGTGCAAGTACAAATTGATTAAAAGTGGGATAGGGAGGCTTAGTGAGCTTAGCCAAGCAAAAGTCTTGATATTTTGGACCCAATCCTTGCGAGAATTAGAAGACTTTATCGAGGTCCGAAACTGGCTTCTTAATTGCAATAAAGTTGTCACAAATGGACATGAAGTCCCTTAGATGTTCAGCTAAGGAACGTGACTCCTTTTTGAGTGTCACTAACATATCTTTCAAATGAACTTCCTTTTCCATTGTGACTGGAAGCAATTACTCTTCAAGAGAGGACTAGACTTGGTAAACCATTTCTGCTCCAATGATCATGCCTAATACTTCCTCGTTCATGCTTCTGAGGAGCCAAGAGGTAAGTAAACCATCATTGTTGATCCATGGTTTAAATAACGGATTGAATCTTTTGTTTCCAGCATCATCCTTGATCTCCTCAGTGGGTTTGTCATCACTAGCGAGGTGATGAATGACTCCAAGGTTGCGGACAAGAGGAAGAATCCAGGAACGCCACAAAGTTGGTGGTGCTTAGCTTGACCGAAACCAAGCTAAAGCATTTGTGGAAGGATTGGATGTTAAGTTTTGGTTCTTCTTTTTGGGTTGAAGATGATGAAGAAGTCATGAAGTTTAGGCTCACGGGGTTTAAGCTCTGACACCATGAAAGTTTTTGAAGAAAAGGAATATTGTGGAAGCGCACTTTTTCATTGAGTGTTTATATAATTATATACACGTACAGAAATCAATCACAATTATAATTATATGATTTTACGAATTATTTAAGGAATAAGAAAACATGTGACAACTATAATTGACTAAGAATTGATTTGTTTTCTTGAATAGTTCCACGATGATAGCCATTCTTGAGATTCTCCATAATCTTTGGTGATTGTTGATTTATTTGATTTGTTTCCTTGAATAATTCCACGATGACACAAAATATACAAATTCCGAAATCAATATTGAGCCTTCGTGAGATTCTCCATGATCTTCAGTGATTGTTGATTTATTTCCCTTAATAAGGTGGAAGGGGACTCGAATATAGACACACCCGCTCGGGGAGCTAGGTACTCTACCAATTAAGTCACGAGTAATGTCCATTTACAAAATGAAATCACTATCTCTATTATATAACAATAATTGTTCAACATTATATTTCATTTGGACTCCCACACATTAATTTCCTACAAAATTAAATAACTATTTATAAAGCTAAAAATGAAAAATCCTTATATTTCCTTGAATAAATATAATTAGTATTATATTAATATACTAAAAATTACAAGGTCTAATTTAGGAATATTGTTTTAGGTCTCAAATAGTATCAAGCCGGCCTCTACGTTCCTGCCCTTGGTCCGCTTCTATCCGCACTCAGTCGACAATGGACAGAAGGCCACGTGAGGGTACAATCCCAAAAGAAATATAGGCGTTCTAAAAATAAAAAAAATAAAATAAAATGTCAATATTACCCTCTATCTTAAATCATCAATCTATGTACGGATTACAGAATGAACTTATATACATATATCGGACCTATAATTCAACATTTCTTCACATACTCTCTCTCTCTCCAGAATCAACAATGCTTCCTCTCTTGCCAACTCAACTTAATAACCTTCTCTTTGTTTATAGGGTCAAGTGCATAAAACATGCCTAAAGTATGCTTATAGTACCTATCACACCCTCACGTGCAAAAAACACCCCTAAAGTTTCAATTTGGTGCAAATAGGTCCCTTTAACAAATTTAAACCCTAAGTTGACTAAATTACCCTTACTGAACCATTTTATAAAATATATAAAAATGAATAATTTTATAAAATGACTGAAAAGGACACTATTAGTATATGCCCCTCTCGTGCAAAAACACCCCTAAAGTTTCAATCTGGTGCAAATAGGTCCCTCTGACAAATTTAAACCTTAAGTTGACTAAATTGCGTACCCTTACTGAACCATTTTATAAAATATATAAAAATAAACAATTTTATAAAATGACACAATTGGAGGACGCCGGCAATGGACAAGTAAAGATAAAAATATAAAATAAATATAAAAGTATTAAATAAAAGTAAAGATAAATAAAATAAAATAAAAAAAGTGCAAGATAAAGAATACAAATTTTTTTCAAACTCTGAAAACTAGTGCACACTAATATTTTGATTTTTTATTTTTATTTTTAACAGTGTTGGTACAAAATAATAATAATAATAATAAAGAAAAAAAATTAGTAGAAAAGAGTAAACTGGAGTGTCAAAAAATTTAAATCCTTGTTCTACAAATTCTCAAATTTTTTTATAAAAAAAATGTTTAGAGATATATAGAGAAAAAAGTTTCAAAAAATATATATATATAAAGTAAAGTGCACATAACACCCCTATATTATGAGATTAGTAGCATATATGCTCTCTTGGGCCTTTTTAGAAGAGTAAAAGGGCAAAATGGGTATTACAACACTAATTTATATCAGAGGGGGTATTTTTGCACAATGTGAAAAGATTAGGGATATTTTTTGCACACTTTTTCAAATATGGGGTAAAAACACTACGCAGAGTATACTTTAGGGGTGTTTTTTATACTTGTCCCTTGTTTATATTGGTTCTAAAAAATAATAAGTCTAAGAAATTTTCCCTTTTGCAAATTAAAGTTATAAAACAGGAAAAAAAATCTCCATATCAAAAGTAGAGTGGAGTTGGGAGAGAGATGAGTGAGCCTTGGTTCTTTATATATATATATATATATATATATGTATGTATTCATGGATGCTTGAAGAGGGTAATGTTAGAAATTTTGTCTTAAAAAAAGTCCAGATTCCAAGTTTGTAGACACCCCACTTATACCCAAAAAGTTTAGCTTCAAACATGCTACTTTAGCAATTGAAATCATAATAACCCAGCAAATTAGTTCTATAACAAGGCATGGAGTCGATTGCTGCATTTATTTTCAACAGCTTTTGATTTAAACAGCCAAACACAGCTTTAATATCCATCATTAATAAGGACGAGCTACTCTTATGAGGTTGGTGGCAGGATATCAACATAGCAACTGTAAGAAAGTGACTTCACTGTTCAGAATTGAAATGCTCCTTATCCCTGGTTCCAATCAGTTTGGGACCTTATCCCTGTTTCCAACCAACATGTGCAGCAATCTCTTGAAGATGGTGGTCCATACAGCTCCTCATAAATACACCGCCTACAATTCCTGCAATATGAAAGCCTAAGATTGGGGCCACCTTCAAGGAATTTTCCCGCTAATTGTTCGGTGCATGTGGGACAGGAGGGATTACATGTCCCCAGTGGTAAATTATAGAATGCTCTAAGAAGTCCGACACCACCAAAGAATGTGACTAAAGGTAATATGATGAAAATGGAGTTTAATAAGAGTGTGGCCTCCTTTAATCATACAGGTCTCTTCTTGTTGGTCCCATGGGTCAAAAAATGGCTTCAAAACAATTCATGGTGGTTGAAGAGAAGGATTGGTAAAATATAGAACTTTCATTTTAATTAGTGCCAATAATGCATTTTCAACAACAGGCAGTCAAAAAGGAAACTCCCATTATCATTGTATCCCTAATTCTCTCAAACTAATGACCAAAAATTATTTGTATAAACAACACGTAATAGCACCTTCTAATAGGTGGACAAACACTTGGGGCCAAAGCTTTAACGACTCTGAGGATGTTCACCATATAATCAGACAAAATCTCTCATTCTTGGCACGTATTGCTCTACCAGAGAGAGAGAGAGAGAGTTGTGAAGTAAAGAATGTGGAATTCAAAATGTCCACTCTGAATTCCAATTCCATTGTTTGTGTCTCGAGGTTAGCAAAAGAAGCTCTCCCCCCCTTGGGCAAAACATCTGGATAGATAAGGAAGCCAAAGATTGGAGCTGTATTTGTGGTTGCAGAGAGAGACAAAACTGAAGTCACAATGCTGCTAAGAAAAACTATTCAGAAGACCAAGATCTTGTTTCACAAAACCCTCCAAAACCTCAAGTCATTTCTCTTCGGGGCGTACCAAAAGCTACACAAAGACCGTCCCCTCAATCACTTCTGTAGCAAAAACAGCAGCCCAACAACGCAGCAGTTGGAGCTCTTCTATACAGACTTCTCCGAGCACTTGGATTCCGATCATGATAAGACGACGAAAAGAAAGAAGAAGAAGAAGAAGAATAAGAAGAACGTTATATTGGCAAAAGAGCTGATGAAGGAAGAAGAAGCTTGTAATAGTTGTTGCATCAAGCTTGAAGAGCATAGTGTTGTGAACATCAAAAATGAAGTGAGAGGAGAGGAAGAGAAGAAGATGGGAAGTTCTATGAGAGAGAAAAGAGGAGAGTCATCCTCCAGGAGCATGAATAGTGGGAATTATGTGTTGGCGCAAAAGATGAAAGAATTGGAGATGATGGATGTGAATGACGTGGATCATGTGTTGGACGTAGAAGAAGTACTCCATTATTATTCTCTCCTCAAAAGTCCGGTTTACCTCGACATCATGGACAAGTTTTTCACAGATACATACTCCGATTTATTCGTTCCACAGCCCTCTGCTAGTGTTAACAATTCAATGAGGAAGCTTGGCCCTCTCAAGTTACAGAGTGCTAACAATTCAATGAGGAAGCTTGGCCCTCTCAAGTTACAGAGTGCTAACAATTCAATGAGGAACCTTGGCCCTCTCAAGTTCTAGATAATGCAGCCAATGATCTCTTATCTTATCTGGGCATTACCCAGTTGCCTAATTGGTAGAGCGCCCAGCTTCCTGAGCAGCTGTGCGTGTATTCAAGTTCCCCATCCCCTAGTTTGGTAGGAAAAAAATGATCTCTCTGTGCATATGATTCTCACCATCTCTCTTTGTTTCTTTCCCATCCTCTTGTCTGAATATGTTTGTGTGCCCACTTGAATGTAGTTGTGGTTTTCAGCTCAATAAATCTTTCTATGTGGTTTCAAATTTGGTAGTCTCTTTTTAAAAATTACTCAACTCTATGAGATTTGCAATTCACCACCACCTCTTTGCCATATGGGTTGTCTATAGATTGCTTGAGTTTACGTTTTTCTTTAAAGCCACCCTGATGCAAAACAGATTTGCATTAAGCATAAATCAGAAAATTTTCTAGCATGGAGACATAATTAAAACACTGTGACTACAATTTTCTAGTGGTGCAGCTGACTCGATTAGGATAGTATCCATTACTTAAAAAACACACACACACACACAACCTGTAACACAGTCCAATGGTTTAGAATCAGTTGATTAATATTTGTCTTAATTTTGTTAAAATAAGGTAGTGTCGTTTGATGAAAGATCAGTTGGTTTTTTGATCCATCGGATGGAAAATCATAGAATACAAGAGAAAAAAAGTAATAGAAAGAATCCTTATCCCTAGCCCACTACCTCTCTCAGGCTACCATCTTCAAACAACTTACCAGTGTCAGAAGTAAAACAAACCGAAAAAAGAATCAGACTATGAACAAAAGAAGAATCCAACATTTTTCAGAAAGAAACAAAGTCGGCTCACCTCGTAAACCAGCCACAGGAGCCTTGGAAGACTTCAGTTTATATAGATATATGATGATTTGCTCAGCTTGCACGCACTGTATTGAAGTGTATTCAAGCGATCGGATTCTGATGACTTCTCTGCAAAAATGGAAGCCATATCAAATTAAGACCAACTTAAATTCAAAGCACATATCAGACGATACGGCAAACCATGATTCAGAGAGATCAGAATACGCAATAGAAGCAGCACAAAGCTGAATTTCTTTGTAAATTCCTCACCATCGTTTAGTTTTTCGTAGAGTAGTCAGGAGAGGAATCCAAACAAAAAAAGGGGTCACGTGGAAGAACACTGTGAAAGGAAAAAAAAAATAGCGGGAAGAAAAGCTCTTTTAACATTAAGATTTAAGGCCACATCTGTATATTTTGTGAAATCGAGGTGACAAAATAAAATCGTTATACCGGCTAATTCGGCCTGTTCATACAAATATTCACTCAAATACAGGCTAATTCGGCCTGTTTATACAAATATTCACTCAAATCCGTTACATCAAATCCGTTACACCAAATACCGACTAATTCGGCCTGTTTATACAAATATTCACTCAAATCTGTTACACCGTAACCGATACTGCGATCGCAACCATGATTGTAATTGATGTGTATAATAGCAATGACAAGGTAGAAGGTTGTACCAAAGTTTTTTTGCTCTAAATAACAAATTTAGAAGCTCCTTTTGTCAAAGTAGCTTTAATGGGCGTCTGAAAATTCAAAAGACCATCATACTGTTTTGGGCTTAATCAATCAAACCATAAACGTGCCATAACCATTTTTCAGGAAGCAAGCAATCTCTGAATAAAAAAGATTGGACATTTAACAGTAAATTAACCAAAAAATTTGAGCATTTTCAACTGTAGACAAATGTTCTTTCACAATCCAACAAGAATATTCACTTCTATCAATCAAATTACAAGCTGCAGAGCTTTACAAAAGCATGCAGAATGACAACTATATGCAATCTTAAATGACAAGAATAAATTGTTGGGGCCTATATCAAACAAGGAAGACTAAAGCCCAAGAGGTGACCGACTGCAGAAAGCTTGCAGAGTGACTAAGGAACCAGCCTGTTAAATTTTGACTTGGCAGGGAAATACCCTCCCGCTGAAATCAGAAAGTTGCAATTAACCAAACCAACCGATGGGTTGGTCACTGCAAAACACATTCTAAAAGCGGTACCCAGCACGTCCAACTTCTATATGCACTTCTGTATAGGATTTAGTGACCAGATGAAGATACTAAAACATGATGCTCCTTTAGGCGTCTTTGAAAATGAGTCAAACGGTTTTGTAATTGTAAAATGCCTGCAGCCTTCTGGGATAGGATTGCATTCAAACGAGATATATAATCATCCAGCTGATTGCCCGGCTGATCTGCCTCAACCAGCAGGTTCATTTCCTGCAAGTATGAACGAAATATGAGAAAATTTTGAATACAAGCATCAAACTCTCATATGAGTAGCATCCAAGCTCAAGCAAAAGACCCAACAAGAAGTGGCCAACAAAAAGAAAAAACCTGTATATGCTGAAAAAAAAAAATTAGATTGTGAAATGACTGCAACTCCGCAGTGTTGACACCAGGATTTCCAGAATCATATGAATCTAATGATTCTTGCAGTAAAATATCCTTAGTGGACCCCACCAAACAACATTCCCGCACCACCCCACCCCACCCCACCCCACCCCACCCCACCCCAAGAACATGTGCTATAGATAGTTGAGAACCCATTTTAAGTGGTCTTGGCTTTAGATGCAACTAGTTGTTTAGAAATATTTAGGGTATAATCAAGGAAAAATATATCAAAATGCATATTTTCAAATACCTCTCTAACAATGTCCATCGTCTCCTCCACTTGCCTCCGGTGAGCACTTACAAGATCTTCCTCTTCCTGTGGTTTGCAACACAAGCTATTGAGGTCAACAAATTGAGCTTTTGTAGCTAAATAACCATTAGTAATTCTCCTAACGTTCTTACCTTTAAAAGGGCATTCAAATCATCATCAGAGTTCGAACTCTTAGCATCAAATTTTGGTGGGTCCTTCCATTTTGTCTGGCCATTGGATCTCCTCATTTTATCATCGGAATTTGAGAGATTGTATGCTTCAAGCTTTCCACCCTTCTTCCATGATGGCTTCCCTTGCTCATAGGACTCTTCAGATGCATCAAATTCCTCTCTGTCAACTTGTTCAGGCCATGAATCAGTTATGTTGTCTTCAAAGGTTGATACAGATGGTAAAACAGACGAGGGAAAAGTTGTTGACTCCTTCAGGTTCAACGTTGAAGATAAAACATCCTTCTTTGAGTTGTTCCCTTTTGAAAGACTCTTCACCCTAAAATATTATATAAATAAGAAATAGTCAAGCTTAGATCAAGATTTGGGAGGAAAAAAATGTAAAAGTGACTGCCGGAAACTTTATATTATCAGAAGATAACAAACACCTGTCAGCATATCTTAAAGTGTTGAGAGTATGTTCGCATGATCCCGAGTTAGGAGAAATGCAAGAAATCATTACTGTCCGAGAGTCACCAACAAACGAATCTCTCAGAACTTCAGTTAATTTACTGCCCCTAAAAGGAATATGACCCTGGTCATTGTCAAGTGCTCTTATGCATTCTTTTAGTGCAAGCAAGCTTTTATTGATCTCAGCTCCTTCCATTCTGTGGATATTAAAAACAGCTAATTAGAAAAGAACCATTTGAGAAAGGAATATACATTTGACTGCATTGCCTACCAAAATAAAAGCATTTTAAGGGATGATTAAAAATTAGATGCAGGTGAAAGCCCACAAATAACTAAAGCTAGAATCATTCCTAATAAGGAAATAAGGAAAACTTTAAATTAGGTTCTTGACCTTCCGAAATACTCAATCTGGTATGGAAGTTTCAATACAGAAATACAAGCCAAAATTTCATAGCTTCCAAGAAAGTAAGATAAACTTTTGTTCTTGGACAACCTGACTTTACATTGTTGCCTTTAAAGATCTCCTATATACAGATAAATATATTCCCTTGTCAAAGGGACAAACTTGAACATTCAAGATGATTTTTGGCTAGTGGAGCCTACCTATTTAAATTGGTCTTCATCAAAGACGTGTCTCAACAACAGTGCTTAAAAGTCCAAGCTTTAAGTTTGAAATTCAGAGTCAAGGGTCTACTTTCCAGCTTCCAGGCCAACCCAGAATATATTTTCGTTTTAATTTTGGAAATCTCTAGAAACAGATGAAAGACGCGGATATCAATTCAGTTCGAGTAAATATTTGGCCACGTTTTAAACCAATATTTATTCAATGCACACTTAAATAAATGTACCATCCTTTATTTATAAACATGATACTTAAGGCTGTGTAACATATAGTTTTCCTCGATAATTGAATGATCGGTACCTTTTGATCTTGGACACCTGACTTTACATTGTTGCTTTTAAAGATCTCCTATATACAGATAAATATATTCCCTTGTCGAATGGACAAACTTGAACATTCAAGATGATTTTTGGCTAGTGGAGCCTATCTATTTAAATTGATCTTCATCAAAGATGTGTCTCAACAACAGTGCTTAAAAATCCAAGCTTTAAGTTTGAAATTCAGAGTCACGAGTCTACTTTCCAGATTCCAGGCCAACCTAGAATATATTTTCCTTTAAATTTTGGAAATCTCTACAAACAGATGAAAGACACGTATATAAATTCAGTTCGAGTAAATATTTGGCCAAGTTTTAAACCAATGTTTACTCAATGCACACTTAAATAAATGTACCATCCTCTTCTTATAAACATGATACTTAAGGCTGTGTAACATATAGTTTTCCTCGATAATTGAATGATCGGTACCTTGTCTGCTTATCATTGTCAGTTGTATCTGCACCACGTTCACTCCCAGCAAGATCTATAAAGGAGAGCTTGCCAATAACTCTGGGCGGCTTTGATTCACTGCCATCAACTGACCTCTTGATAACAAGTTGAAGTATGGCATGTGACCGGGAGGATTCCTCATTTGCACCAGTTGTGCCTGTACTTCTTGAGCCATTTCCTTTCTCAATGAGCTCCTTAATTGTCTCCACTTCTGATACTTTGTATTCTTGCAATCCAACAATGCAAACTTGCTGTTTTCCATCCTCTCTCATGCAAAGTTTTCTGCACAAAAATATAGAGTTTTGCATGCGAATTTAGAGACTGCTAATGCTTACTAGAATAGTGTAATAGAACATGGTTAGAAACTTACTTCCGATCATTGAGGAGATCATAAAGTTTTCCACCGTAAATTTCAAAGAAGCTAACAAACAAATGAAAGCCCTGGTTCCGGTAAGTATGGTGCATTAGCCTCAAAATATCACGAGATGCTTTAAGGGGCAATGGTTTCATAGTAAAAGTTTTTCCACTCCCTGAACAAGTAATCAAACAGTAAGTGAAAGCATATCAGCAATGATAATTTGACAGAAAAAAATGACGATCTGATAGTTCAAGCCTGCACGAGTGTTACATATCAGAAGTTGATTGGATTATACATGATAAAGAAAGAGCATTTTCGTAAGGGCATTCCCTATCGCACCTTTAATATAGACATGCTAAGAAACATGAGCTATCACTCGTGAAAACTAAAAAAAAAAAAAAAAAAAAAAAAACACAATTTAATGAATAATGAAGCTAACCATTTTTGAAGCTAACCATTTTTATCTCTCAAACTATAGCAAACCATTAGGCAGGCCAATGATTTTAGACTTGGAACAAGTAAAATTAAGAGTAAAATATAACTCTAACAAGCATCATTGTTCATACATCATGAAATGAAATACTGCAAACACCTGTAATTAATTATGGTTAAGCAGTTTTAAGGCAGAAAGACGACTATAAAAATTGATAACTGTTACAATTAATTTAGTTGAAGAGCAGAACTGCCCTATTGTTCCAATGGAGAGAATTATGTGATAAAAGTACTCCCACGAATAGAGTAACCTGTGTAAGCAGCCAATAAGAAATAGTCTGTACTAAAAGTAGAGTTATTACAAAGGTTTCTCTAAGTTTGTATTTCAAAAATGGTACATGAACACAAAAAGAAGAAGAAGAAGAAGCAGTAGCAGCCACAGAAGTTGGATACTGCAATTTGATACTAGCATTTGACTGAATATAATAAACATGATTTCTAAGCAGACATGGTGTTGAATGTCACCTCAGACGTGCAATGTCTGACATGGAAAATCTTGAAATATAAAGAATGGGAAAAGTCTTACATATAGTATATAGACATATGCTAAAATATGTTAAAATATATATACACACACATGTATCTATTTTTTCACCTACATATGTTTTATGTTTCATTAATCCTTTTTATTCAAATTTCTGGAATATTTGAGGTCAACTTTGCATTCAACATGTGTCAGATAAATAAGTAATGTGAACACCCTACATAGATGAATGTCAACAAGGGTGATTTGGAGAATAAAAATCATAACGGGTCAAATAAAATATAGGGCTCCCTAATTTGTCAAACAATTTGTGAAATTTGGGAGCTTAAGCACTAGAATAAGATTAACCACAGCGCTGTCTCTCTCTCACACACACACACAAACACATATATATCCTCTCCTCATCCAACTCGGGAAGGGACCAAGAATTTTCCGATCTAGCTATCTCTTACCCAAAGCAAACAAGATGAGGTAGTAGGATCCAAATCAATTCAAATCATATTTAAGTGTCCATCTAGACATGTGTTAGCACAAGATCTGTGTGTAATACATCCTATGATTGCCAGTTTTTTCCTTTTTCTTTCTTTTTTTTTTTTTTTCCCTCTTGAAAGCTAAGGTGAGACTAATTACAAAGGAACAAAAGAAACAGAGTTCCCTTTCGCTTCTCATTTAAACATATTAGTTGCAGCTAGACAACAATACTAGATATATGATAAATACAAATTCAAGTGACATGGTTTTACATCGCTGTGTGAATGGTTTTACATCGCTGTGTGAAACTTCTTAGAAATTTTCCCACTCCCTCCATCTTATTCAAAAAGTTCTCATGTGAAACTCACCAACAACCATCCAAATTATCTGCTCGATTTAACAGAAAGTGAAACCATGGAAAAGAAGAAACCAATTTAAAGGCACATTAACAATTCATGTTTTTCTTTTTCTATTCATGTTTTTTTTTTCCTCTGGAAGCTAAGGTGAGACTAATTACAAAGGAACAAAAGGAACAGAGTTCCCTTTCGCTTCTCATTTAAACATATTAGTTGCAGCTAGACAACAATACTAGATATATGATAAATACAAATTCAAGTGGACATGGTTTTACATCGCTGTGTGAATGGTTTTACATCGCTGTGTGAAACTTCTGAGAAATTTTCCCACTCCCTATTGGCTACACGTGTTTCATGAACAGTGCGCATATATATATATATATGGATGACATCAGAACTCCACAAAGAATATGTAAGGAAGGATAAACTACTTTATAGAAATTAAGAATGCATTGACAGCAGCTAATCATATTATCAAGCAAGTGGAAAACGGTTCTGATTTTGAATGAACAGGTGACAATGTCATTACGGAATCCATATGACATTTGAAAGCTAGTCATATACCTGTTTGCCCATATGCAAAACATGTTGCTTTGGTGCGTTGAAAAATTATGGGAACTATAGGCTCCACAGTTTCACGATACACCTACAAAAAAAAAAAAAAAAAATTTGAAATGAATCATGTTTCGGACTTGATCTTTTCCCATTTTTCCTTTTTTAATTATATGTTGTCTTGCACTCACCTCATCATTTGAAACCTCCTCATTCAGAACTGCATCAAAAACAAATTCATGTTTTTCCACATATTCCGTTAGGTCAACCTGCATAATTGAGAGTAAACTTTCAAGAAAATGCAAGAAGGCTGAATAAGATTTGATGATGAACACCTGTCACTACAACAGTTTTTGCCTTAGAATACCGCCATTAAGAAAGACAAGCACGAAACTTTATAGAATATTACATGTTCTTACAGAGCTATAGCTTGAGGATGCTAGCAACCTTGACCAAAAAACACACTAGGGAGATGTTTACAATTTGATCACTTTATTTTTATCATACACGCAGGGGCGGAGCTAGGGGGGACCAGCAGGGGCCATGGCCCCCCAAACTTTTTGGAAATTTTTTTTACATGTTAATTAATTTATAAATTTTGCCTCTAAATCTATTAAAAATTTTAATTGGCCCCCCCAATATTTTTAACACATATATTGACCAGCCAAGTTTTTGAAAATTCTATTAATAGTCCCTAAATGTTAATTAATTTGTAGATTTTGTCCCTAAAATTTATTAAAGATTTCAATTGGCTCCCCAATCTTTTTCAAAACACATATATTGACCCAAAATAAAGAGTTTGAAAATAAATTTAGTTTCTCTCTCTTTGAAATTTAAATTTTTTTCAACTTGCACTCTCTCATTATTATTATAGTCATTTTTTTTTGGTAAATAATTATTATAGTCATTATCGCAACACATTGTTATTTTATTTATATATACACGTACAATATCTATAATATTAATTCAAGAGAGAGAAAAAATGAATAAAATAATTAAAGTACCCTCATGTTTGGTAAAAATGCATGAAGCATAATTTGTCAAACATTTTTGTAAAATGGTATTTACAAGAAAAATATCTAAAATTATATAATAATCTTTATTGGCAAGTCCTAGCCTCCTAGGAATATTTGGAAAGAAAATAAACTAAAGTATTGTGAGACTCTCAATGACAATAATCATATCATCTATGCTAATACTTTTAGTTATCACCTTTAAATAACAAATTTTATAACTATTTGTATCTTGTTTAATAACTCAATAATAATCTTGCTGAATTTAAAATAAAAAAAATAAAAAATAAAAAAAAAATTGATTTAAAATTCATTATGTTGTTGAATTGTGGAATCTACGTATTTAATTTTCTTCTTCCAAAAATTAGATTTTTTAAAAATTAAAACAATTGATAAAGGAAATTTGATTTTCTAACAATGCTTATTTCTTTACGTTTCTTCTCCAAAAAAATTTTCTATCATTTTTTTTTTTTCTGTCCAAGTTGTATTTTTCTCATTTTTGAATTTTCTCAAGACATATATACTATGACTAGTATTTAAAAAACAAATTCTATTATAATTGATTTATAAATTTTTAAAATTTTTGTTACATAGTTCATATCCGGCCCCCCAAACTTTAAATTTCTGGCTCTGCCCCTGCATACACGGAAATAAAAGAAGCTTGTTTGGGTTCTTTCGTGGAACAATAATAAAAGGATAATAAATGAGAGATACCACACAAAAGATAAGGGACCCAGAATGCTACTAATCTGGAAAAAGGAGAAGTACACAAACCGAGGGGATTAATGGTGAAGGTAGGAATGTTTGTGTACTGTGCCAGAAAGTAAATGTGCTCAGTAATGGTGATTCTTGGTTACTAATGCTCTACCCTTTAATGCCCAATGATATTGGTATAGGGGTGGCAAAATGGTTCATGACCCACCAACCCGCCCATATCCTCCTGCTTTTAAAAAATGGATTTGAGTGAACCATTTTAAAATATGGATCAAAGCGGGTGACCCATATTCAACTCATTTTTATAGAGGGTTAAACGAGTTGGATATGGATACTCATATTCAACCTGTATTTCAGCCATTATATAAGAGACCCAGATTCAGCTCCTCTATTCGACTCAAATTCACTTCCTCTCTCTCTAAAATTCTCTCACATGATCCCAGATTCTCTCTGCCTCTCCCACTCTCTATAAATTCTCTCTTTAAGATTCTCTCTGCATCATCCTCTTTCTCTCTCTAAAACTTTCTCTATAGCCGCAATGCTTCCATACCCACAAAATGCAGCCGAGCACCACCACGCACTCCGCACTGCACAATACTGACATTTTGTTACTGTTGCTAATAGTATTACTTTAGCGAGAGAAAACAGTTACCAGAGAGAGAAGAAGGTTATTGTCATGGTTTTATGATTGAAAGATGACCAGCATTAATTGATTTGTTTAAGAGGTAAAAATTCCATAGTGGTATTTTAGGGGGAAAAAAAAAAGTATAGACACAGTAGTTGTTTCGTGCCTTTATGGTATAGCTTCTTTGTACTACTATAATACTGCTCTGCTAGACCCACAACACATACAATTTATCAGTGTGTATTATATCTGCTCTGTTTTCCTACCAACAATATCCTGTACTTCTTTTGGTAATTCTTGCGACAATATCTAATGGTCCATCCCCCCTTCTCTCTCTCTACGTCTACATAGACATATACATGCATATATAGGGAGAGAAAGAGAAGACATATGGAAGTCAAAATAATATTTTTAAAGAAAATTGAAGCTTTTTATGGTTAATTGATTATTGTATGGACAAATCCTTTTCACATGTACGTGGTGAGAGAGAGGTGGGTGAAAGCATTCTTTTAGACTCTGAAATCGACTATCTAAGAACACCTATATCATAACTATTTAATTACTGTATGGACAACTCCTTTTCACGCATACTTTAGTGGTTAGAGGGAGGTGGGTGGATGCAATTTTTTATTTTATTATATATATATATATATGAGTAAGGAGTCTGAGTAAGTTGATTTGATCTAGCTTTTTAGGGCCTGTTCACTAGCGCTTTTACTTTCTAATTTTTACTTTCTCCAAAAGTAAAATTATGATTTTGATTTCTTAAGCTGAAATAGAAAGTGAAATTATGTTTAGTAATATCTCATATTCGTTAAAATTTTGAAAGCAAAATAACAAAATCAAGTTTAATAATTATGATTTTGCTTTTTTTCTCTCTTTTTTTTTTCACCTGCGTACCCAGTTCTATCATCTACCAATCCCACCATCCCCCCAATTCAGGTTCGCATCCACCAACCCCCATTTCTACCTAACCACAAGCACTACCAAAAACCATCACCACCTCCCATCATAGCTTTCAAACATCAATAATGTCACTACAAACCTCTTTCCAACACAAAATTAAATGTCTTCCAGAACCAAGATGTTCACCACTATCCAAAACCCCCTAACCCCCTCTTCCCACTACAATTGCAATTGCTCCAATCACAGTGTCAAAATAATAATAATAATAATAATAAAATAAGAAACTGCGACCCCGCCGCCATTAAGACTTCTTGGGGTTGTTGTGAGCTCTCTTCTTCGCCGGCAACACCGACGTTGGAATCAAGTAGTACATGTTGCCTCACTTGAGCTACGACTCCGACGTCCTCTCCGTTGCTAGTCACCGCTTGCCGTTGGCCAATTCCAAGCTTGCAGTGGTGTGAGACCGGGTGATGAGATGATAGTTCAACAGTAGGAGGAGGAAGAGATTTCAGTCTTCAATGGATGATCGGCGGCGTTTGGTAGCAGCTTGTGGTGGTAGAGACAAGGAGAGAGAGAGGAGCTGGTGTCCCCTCTGTCGCGGGTCACCACTCGTCGATCACTGATTGCCCGATTCCAAACTTGCAATGGTTGTGACGTCGCTCTTCTAGGTCTTGGTGATACGAGAGGATAATGGGTTAGAGGAAGAAAAAGGGTTTCTAGATGAATACTGGGGAGTATCTTAATTTTGGTGGGAGTAGCGCTATAGTAGAGAAAGTAATTTCTGTCTACAGTGGAGAAAGTAAAGGAGGTATCAAATTGTCACTTCCTCTTTTCTTCATTAAAGGAGGAAGTACTTTCTTGAAGTTGAAAAGTGAAATTACTTTATTGAACATGATTTCTACTTTTGATTCCTTATTTTAGGAATTGACAGTGAAAACAGGAATTAATTCTTGTTAGTGAACAGACCCTTATAGTGTGCCTGACATCTTAATTGTTTTCTAAAAAATATTATTGTTGGAAAATTTATTGGATGGTGAAAATGGGGTGAATCACAACCATTTAATGGAGGATAGGAAAAGGTGGTATTGAATTAGAAAGTGTCCCAAGGAACTTTTTAGTAGCAGTCACACAGTGGCCATTAAATGTACCAACAGTGATGGATAAAACCCTCAAGAAAAATTACTCAGCACTCACATATGCTAAAAGTAAGATATATCTCCATTTTATGTGTTGTGGGTGTAAGCTGGGTTAAAGCATTGGTTAAAAATTACCCATATATCATTCTTTTTATTTAATCATTTATTATATAGAAAGCTTAACAAATGATTTCATATAATATATATATATATATATATATATATCTCCATTTTATGTGTTGTGGGTGTAAGCTGGGTTAAAGCATTGGTTAAAAATTACCCATATATCATTCTTTTTATTTAATCATTTATTATATAGAAAGCTTAACAAATGATTTCATATAATATATATATATATATATATATATATATATATATATATATATATATATTATATGAAATCATTTGTTAAGCTTTCTATATATATCTTACCTGCATGCATGTCTAGTCATAAAATAAAATAATATACTTATCAAAAAAAAAAAAAAAATCAAATAATATAAATTTAAAGAATTTCCAAAATAAATTGAAGGATTTGCGTTATTCATACATATTTTTACAAGCTTTTATCCTTTTAAAATCAAAAAATATAATGATCAAATTATCCAAAATAACAACATTTTTTCCCTTAAAATGGGTCGGTGGGTCATGGCAGGCATGGTTATTAAAAGCCCAAGGCGCACCGAGGCGCTAGAGGTCCCTTGGAACCTAGGCACGAGGCGAGGCACGCGCTTGAGTAATGTGAGGCGCACAAATAAAATTTTAAAACAATAATTCTCCGCAAAAATAACACAATTAAACAATGAACATCCAATAATTAAAACACTAAATATATCACAATTAAACCAATAAAGCAACCTGTAAACAACATTCAGACTATTCAGCAAACAGCATTCAGAAAGATGTATTCAAAATTTAAACAATCTAGCAAACAACATGTAGCAAAATTCAGCAAATTGCATTCAAAAGAACAAAAAAAACAGAACACAACAACAACAAAAAAGAGAGACAGCCTTCAAAGAAGAAGGGAGAAAAAAAATGAGAGATAGAGATTAGAGGAAGAAGAGTTCAGAGATTGAAAAAAAAAAAAAAAAGAGATAAGAAGTAGATGAAGAAAAGAAAGAAAGAAAGAAAAAACAGAGGAGTAGATGAAGGGGGGAAAAAAATGAAGGCCAGAGAAGACTGAGAGAGGAGTAGACGAAGGGAAAAAAAAATGTTCACAAGAAAAAAATACAGAGAGACAAACGGGAGAGGAGTAGACGAAGAAAAAGAAAGAAGAAAAAAAAAAAAAAACAGAGACCCAGAAGAAAAAAAATAAAAGAGACCCAGAAAAAAATATACCAGAGACCCAGGAAAAAACAAAACCAGAGATTCAGAGACGAAGAAAAAAAGAGACCTAGAAAAAAAAATATATATATATATATATAGAGAGAGAGAGAGAGAGAATAAGCAAATTAAGAGAGAGAGAAGAGGAGAAGAGGAGGAGGAGGAAAAAATAACTGAACTGACCTGGTAGGCTGATTCCTGGCCCAAATCCGACCCAACCCGCCCATTTGTCACCCCTAGTATTTATAGTCCAAGGTCTCTTGTGTAATACCCAAGGGATTAAGGCCTTGTTGGAGTATTACCAAGATCCTAAAGTTCTAAGGTTACGACTAATTTAGCCACTTATGTGGGGCTATTAAGTCAAATCATCTCCTCCTCCTCCCGTGTTTATTAGTGGCGCATTAAATGACTTTGGCCAGTCTGATATAGAGGCAGTTGAGCATTAAATGGCCAAGGCATGGCATTAAATGTATCCAGCGTAATTGTGAGTTTCTATCATACATGTGATCACCACATGCCTTTCATTGGGTCTAGTGTTTGGTTTATTTGGACGCCTCTACAAGATCCTTCTGGTTGTCCCATGATGTGACTATAGGCTCGGGATGGGCTCTATGTACGCCCTTCCTTTTTCCAGTCAGTCGTGCATTTTCGTGGGGATTTCCTCTCAAGTTTTTAGCAGTCTTCAAGGGGCCGCCTTGGTTCCTTTTTGGAGATCAAGAGTTCAAGGCTTAGGAAAGTGCTTCAATGCTTCCAAGAACTGAGAGTTATCTTCCAAGGTTTGTGGAACCTGAGGTGGTGCCTTGGGATTTTGGATACGAGACTTGAGGGGACTGAGGTGGTGCTTCATGGTTCAAGACTCAAGAATTACCTCTTCGAGATTTGAGTGGACTTGAGGTGGTGCGTCATGGACTCATGGTTTTAACCTTTTAGACTCGAGTTGTCTCATCGAGGTTTGAAGGGACCTGAAATAGGTCCTCATGGAGTCATGGTTTTGGACTTGAGAGTTGCCTCTTCGAGGTTTGAGGGGATCTAAGGTGGTGTGTCTCAGGGTTTTGGACTCAAGGATTGCCCTCTCGAGGTTTGAGGGGACCTGAGGTGGTGCCTTAGAGTTTTGGACTCGTGAGTTGTTTCTCGAGGTTCATGGCGACTTGAGATGGTGCCTCAGGGTTTCAAACTAGAGAGTTACTTCTTCGAGGTTTGGGGACTTAAGATGGTGTCTCACGATTTGTTGGGCTTGAGAGCTACCTTTTGAGGGTCTCACGTTTTTGGGTTCAAAATTTTTCGTCTAGTGTTCCAACTCTTTGGCTTGTAAGGCTGGCCATATAGGTGGTGTGTGTTTGTTACTTGTGACTTTTTAATTTGTGGGGTTGTCCACGTAGGCAACGCATGCTTGACACCCACAAAGCTTAAATGAGACTCCATAAAAGAGTACTGCATTTTCATATATTTTAGTGGAACTTCTAAAAGTATCTTCTTTCAATAATATATACATAAAAAAATGGGCATCAATTGTTCAGATAAGTGCAAAGCACACCATAATAGTTCTAGCATTAAAACATGAGCTGAAGCAAGTTTATAAATGAAGAGCTGATGAGAAAGATCTAATTCAAAAACGTCACTTAAAGGATCCATAGCATGTCAACAAGCAATCAATTTAATCCTTGCATAGATTTCCAAATTCCACAAAAACAAAACAAACAAAAAAAGAAGTTAAATACGCAGAAGTGAATGGTATTTGAATGGTATGTAAATTTTTCTTACAGCCCTATACTACAAGGGCAAAAGAAAGAAATCTTACCACCTTACGTATAACAAAAAAATCCAATGAAGTTCGAAGTTTAATAGCAAGAACTACTAAAACCTAAATAACATGGCAATGACACTAACCTTGAGTTTAGTCTCGTGTACTGTTAAAGAATTGGATTGCCCTTGTATGGTTATGATGTCTTCGTCATTCTTTGCCAACTCCTTTTTATTTAAGGGCCTCTTACGCACCTGGAACCAAACCATCAAAGCAAAATTTAGAGTTAGACACAGCACCATAGAAACACTTTCACTCGTGGAAAAAGTCATTTTAACGATGTAGTTTTAAGGTTTACAAGCTACCAACCAGGTATCAACACTGCTCTTCTAATAGGCATCGCAATCCATAAAAGAGAAAACAAAATCCAAAGGTAGCAAATAGTCATCAAGCAATGGAAAATCCTTAAATTATAAATTAAAGGAACAAAAAGAGCGTACCACAACTTTGATCTTTGCAACATTGCTGGCCTTTTCCTTATCGGGAGCAAAACTTTTCAAAAGGTTGTTCTCTGGCAAACCACGAACTCTGCCAGTTTGTTTGATGTTCCCAAGGTATGGCTCAGAGTCATCAAAGCTTCTGCCGCGAGTCAAATGATACATAGAAGGGGCATCATACAGGCCAGCAACTGGCATCTGTACAGGGGATACACAAATAACAGCAGAAAATTAAAATTGATCATGAACTCAAATTTGCCATATTAATTTTTCGTCAAACATGTATTCAGATGGCGTAAATTATCTACTTACACGAACAAAAATCAGATAGAAGTATTAAAACATCCAAAGAACCAAAATCTTATTCAATTATTTGACTGATTCATGATTCAAGACAAAAATATTTTGTGTGTATTTCAATATTTCATTGAGTTTCGATGGCACCATCACAATTTCTATGGCATTTGAATAAAACTTTATCACCTGAAAATGGGAAAATTGAGGACTATTGGGACTTCACCAGGTTTTCTGATTAATTATAAATAGGTCTCCTTGAAATGAGAGAGAAAAAAATAAAATAAAATAAATAAATAAATAAATAATCCAAAGTTAAAGATTACTTATGTGGCCAATGCTATTGCCTTTGATCTTTTCATTTAATTCAATATATATAACTTGCGGTTGCAGCTAAACTGTTAATTAGGCAATTCAATATCTATAGGACATCCAAACAAACTCTTAAGGATTTAAATACAATTCCCATCACCTTTCAAAATTCAACTGCAGGGAATTCCATTGACATTTTACTGAAAGTGACAAATTTTAAGGGTCACTTGGACACTTCCTTTATTTTTTCTTGGTAAGTAAGACGCACACACCCACCATTGCCCCTTATGGGGATTTAATACCTCAACTCTCCATTTGGAATGCAGAGAAGCTACTAGTAGAACTAAACCCTTGGTGATACCTAAGATCCTTACTAGTTGAAAAACTCGGATCGATTTCACATGAGAACTATGGTATACAAGATCAAACCAAAGTTTCTATGCAGCATTATCCGGCAAAATTTAGACAGGTATCCATAAATTATGATTCCATAGAGTAAGCTCCAAGAAATAATCAAACATAAAATCCACAAATATCAACAATGCAAATTCACACAGTTCACATCCCCAATCAAAATGCAATATTTAGTTCACAAGGAAAGAGACCCACCTCAGGAAGCAGTTCAGTGTCCAGAGAATGCAGATCTAAGAGCCCAGGGCTGAACTCACTCTGGGAAAGTTGCTCCTCACTGTTCTTCCTCTGGCTCGAAGACCGTGAATCAACCGGAGGAGTCGATGGCTCCATAAAAAACTCATTTCCACCATTAAAACCCCTCTGCACATTCCTATACATTCTCGATCCCTGACCTCCACCATAGTAACCATAGTCCTGTTCAAATTGAAAGATCGAACTGTGACATTCCAGCATCAGATCTATACATATACGTATGAGTTAAAGGTATGAAGATCGATCGATACCTGTGGAGGAGGAACAGATGTGTTTGAAGACTGGAGGTGTTGAAGGCCGGCTGATTGAAGCCATCGGCCGTTGGATGAGGTCTCCAAGAAGTTGTCGGAGTACTGTCGCTGGTGATGAACCGTTGACGCACCAGATCTCTGCATCTGCCGTCCCATTGCGCTCATCTCCCACTCTCTCTCTCTCTCTCTCTCTCTCTCTCTTCTTTCTCTCTCTAAAATTCAACCTTTTAATCAGAACTCTCTCCCTCTCTAAATCTACAACTATGAACAACCTGTATTGAATTATGCTTAACTTATCGCAACCCCTTTTTTGGGAAAAAATCAATCAATCACAATCTGCGATTAAGAACGTGAAAAGCACAGATTAATGGTCGAAGAAAGAGAGAGAGAGAGAGAGAGAGAGCGAGCTTCGAAAGAAAGCGAAATGAAGCATTCGTTAAATGGAAGCTTCGAAATCCAACGGTTGAGATTCGTCTGAGCTTCTTCTCTGTACTGGTAACAGTACTACTACTAGTAAACAAATGGACTCTAGAGAGAGCTTTGAATTTTGAAGAGGATAGTCACGTGCGAGGAGGGATAAGCACGTGCCTTGGATTGTGAGTGGTCGTAGTGACGACGGGGTTTGTGGGGTCCACTGGTTTTTAAATTGGGCTTGGATGTGCTACCGTCCCACATGGTGGGCCCATGTAGTTTTTGTGTTTTGTGGTGTGTTGGTATTAATTACAGCTATGACTAATTCTCGGCCCGCCCATTGCTTCTCATTCAAAATTTCGGCTCGAATTTTATGCTATGTTGTAAAATATATATGATTATCTATTAAACTCAAAAAAAAAAAAAAAAATATTTGCTTTCGAGGACAGTGTTAGTTCACACATTTAAAAAAATAATGATACATCATATAGTAGTAAAATTAAGAAGGTAAAGTGACGAGAATGATACTCCTTGTGAGTCATAATCTTTCAAAATATATATATATATATATATATATATATATATATTGAGTCACAATTTCTCAAAAGAAATATTTAATTTAAAAAAGAAGGAGTATTTCTTTATTATTTATTTTTAATTATTTTAAAAGTAAGTACAATTTTCAGTTTAGCAATGTGCCACATGCGTGGTGAATATAAATATATTACTCACTAATGAATAAGCAAATATTGTCTCTTTTTTAATGCGTTACGATTCCACTTTGTTTTTTTTTCCTTTCAAAAATTAAAATAATGTAGTTATCATTGAAAGGTGCACTGCACTTCACCATTGTTACACAGAGTTGTCTTACAATTGCCTATTGAGAAATAATAATGTTGTAAATTTATGTATTGAAAAACTTGACTAGAGTGCAAGTGGAAAAATTTGAAGTGCAATTATCAATTTTTAAATTATTCGAGAAACACTCATTTTGATAAATCCCACTAATGTGAATTTTCGAACATTGGACATGGAGTATTCTCATTCTAAATTTATTCGGAGTATTCTGATAAAAAAATTTAAGGTAATAAGTATATTCACACATTTATTTTTTACTTTTATAGAGACTTAAACTATCAACCGTCTACTTTGAAATGTGAGAAAGTACCACTACGGCTATATAACCTATTATCAAAGTTTTCTAATAAGAGCAAATTTGTTATTTGACCAATTAAAAAGCCTACTTCATGAACTCAAAAATAAAAAATGTTTTGGAGGACCGTGTTAGTTCACATATTTGAAAAAATAAAATAAAATAAAATAAAATAGTAATGTATTTGTACCGAAAGATAGGCAAAATTGTTAAACCTACTTTATCTAATTGGTCTATGCATGCCAAATATAAAAAACTGGGATCCTCTACTTCCTTATCTCATACATTAGTGACCAATTAGATATAGTAAGCCTAACAATAATACCTAACTCTTCGGTACAAGTATCATAACTCTTAAAAAAAAAAATTACGGGATATCTAATCATAATAAAATTATAAGGTAAAGTGTCAAAAATGATACTTCTTTAATACGTTGCGGCTCCACTTATTTTTTTCAAAAATTAAAATAATGTAGGCTCCATTTGGTAGCTATTTATGTTTATAATATATTGTTTATCTAAAGAGATTTTGAAAAAAAAAAAAAAAAAACATGTTTGTTAATGTTATTTTTATGAGTGGTGATAGAGAAACCGAACAATAACACCTGAATAAAATGTCGAACCTGATTTAACAGCCACGTCATCTTCATAATTCCTAAACACTGCTAGAAGACATGGAAAAGTCAAACTCTCTCTCTCTCTTTCGATTTTTTCTCCCCAAAGTCCTCTCTCTAGTCTCTTCCTCTTCTATTTCTCTGGTTGATAGATTCTTCTTTATTAGATTCTATCAGTCTCTCTCTCTCTTTGATTTTACAAAATTAAATTAATCCAAAAATCATGGTGTTACAATAGTAGCTCCTGGTATTTATGCTATTTATCTGAATAATTTTATTTGATAAAGTTTGTGCTCTTTTCAGAGATCACTTCCATCTCTAACTAAGAAATAGCAATGGAAATCTCCACATTTTTACAAAAAAAATCAGATTAAGGCTTATTACCCAAGAATTGACTCTAAAGGGGGGGGGGGGTGAAAAGAGTCAATAACTAATTTTCGCAACTTATAGATTTATAATTTCTAGTTAACAACTTAAGCAATTATGCAATAATGAAAGTAAATAATTAATAGCACAATTGTAAAAAAGATAAGGGAAGAGAAATTACAAACAATGACTCGGCGATTTTAGCGAGGTTCGGAAACTCCTACTCCTCGGCTTAAGACTCCTCTTGAGACTTCCCAATCCACTAGTGCACCTCCTTAAGGGTGGAAAGCAAACCTTTACAAGAAGCAACTCCTTGCTTCACCTTGCTAAGAGAACAACATCTCTTAGTCTTTCTTTGGGTCACACCAATCCTTACAAATTGAAGCTAGATTGTTTCTTTTTCCTTGGGCCACACCAACCCTTACAAATGAATATAAGATTTGTTGTATACAAACATATCTCTCAAAGATTGATATGCAAATCAAGGCTCACAACTAGAGTAGATTGAATATAAATAAAGCTCAATACTCTATGAATGAAATGAATGATAAAGGATGATATAAATGAAGAATATAAGCTCTTATAATCTCTCAAGTGTATGATAAAGCACAATCTCTATAAAAATTCAAGCAAGAGCAAAGGCCTTTTGAATGCTTAATTGAATCTCTCAAAATAGTATATGAGTGAATAAGAGAGATGAGAAGAAAATGTGAGAACAAAAACTCTCTTTGATGCAATATAATGTCTCTCAAATGGTGTAATTTTCTCTAGACATTCCCTTGATATTTATAGAGGATTTAGGAGTCTAATAATGATGCAAAAGGTGAACAACACAAAGCACAAGACAAAAGAGCCGTTGGATTTGAATTTTTCAAAATGAGCAGGCTCTGTCTTGAATGGAATCGGCTCCCTTTGCTCTAAGAGCCGGCTCTTCATGGCATAGATCCGGATCCCTACCTCTGAGAGCCTGCTCCCTAATCATGGAGCCGGTTCCCTTGCTGGGAGTTGGATTTTTCGTGGAAAAATGGCTACTAGAATGTCAAGAGCCGGCTCTACTTGAATGGAGTTGGCTCCATTGATGGGCAGAACTTCAAATGGACATAACTCAGTCCATTTAACTCCAAATGAGGTGAAATTTAAGTCTAAATTCATTACTTTAAAGTCAGCTTTCTAATGCCACTGGCCTTACTCAAAAATTCCAACCACAGAAAGAGTTATGCCTATTTTAGTGCAACCTAGTCAGAAATTTCGCAGACCAAAAATATGCATCTTGTGCTGGTTATATCTCACTCAATTCAAATCCAATTTAGGTGCAATTTGAGTCTAAAATCAAAGCTTGAAGTTAGCTTTCCAATGACACTGGCCTTACTTAAAAACTCCAACTAAAAAAATAATTATGGAAGTTTTAGTACAGGTTGGTTTGAAAAATTTCTGGGCTGAAAATTACTTCTTATGAGATAGCCATCTTTCTAGCCCCTAGGACTTTGTGGTTCAATTTAGTTTAAGTCCAGCTTCTAAGAGTCTAGGGAGATATAAGGATGATAAATTTCAAGTGCATTGTGTCCTAGAGTCATTTACCAATTCATAATAACAAAGGCTTTAAAGATGAAAGATTACGTTCAATACCTTACTTTTACTTTCTAGAGAGTAAAATAAATCTTATGATTAATGTGCATAGTCCTAGCATTTCTAACTTAAGTTGTGAGTTCTTTCAAAGTTTATGCAAGCTTGAACTAACTCTTTCTTAGCAAAGACTTCATATGTCAATATATATGAATGAAGTGCATAGTCTATTGCTAATGGATATAGGAGCATATGAATGATGTATGATATGCATGGTCCCATATAGATGAGCTTCAAATGTATTTATAAACACTTTGACATTGACTCCTAAATACTCACCATCCTATCTACCCCTTTCTACATGCTTTGTCCATGGTCTTTAGGCTTTGAGGTATTCTTGCTTTTTTTCTTCCTCTGAGTTGTTTTCTTATTCATTGTAGTCCAAGCTATCTTTGAATGGACATTACATTTTGTTCCTTGCAACTTCAACTCTTCTTTGTATCCATTTTTTTCATTGATGTGATCTTGAATAATGGAATACTTGGAATGATCTTTATAGCTTCATTGAGGTCATTCTTTGAATGTGAATAATATATATAACACTTGATGTAAATATTAGTCCTTAAACACCATTAATGGTTTGTTATCATCAAAACAATTAGATTGTCCTTGGATGAAATCCTTAAGGTCAACAAGACTTATTTAGATTCAAATAGAATACTAGGGCTGTATGTGCAAAATATAGTAATCGAAGAGAGGAAAAATGCTTTTATTGCTCTGTATCCCTTTGATTTTGTGAAATCTAAGAGAGAAACATATACACTAGAACCATAGATAGAAAATTGAGGAAGAATCCATGAACATCTATGATCTGCTTCCAGTATGTATGTAAATTTGTATGTAAGTATGTATACATAAACATATATATATATATATATATATATATATATATATATATATATATATTATTTTTATCTCTATGCATACCCATTTCTTCAGTGTATCTTCACACAGTTCATGGCTCCATGACCTCCATCAATTTCCCTTATTATTATTATTTTTTTTTAGGTTTTAATTCTATCACATGAGAGGTTAGGAGAATCTGACGTGGCTTGGCCACGTCAAGTTCGGTCGTTCGGTCGGGGGATGCACTTCGGCACTTCTATCAGTATCCTATTTCTATTTATCAATTATATAAATTCACTTATATTAATCCTTTTCACACAGGCCCTAATTTGTTGAACAATGATTCAAGTGCAGAAAACACCTCTAAAGTATATTTACAGTGCATATCACACCCCTCATGTACAAAAAACACCCCTAATGTTTTAATTTTATAAAAATAGGTCCCTCTGACAAATTTAAACCCTAAATTGAATAAATTACCCTTACTGAACCATTTTATAAAA